CCACGAGATTCCTCTAAACTCCACATTGCTTCGTATCTTTTTGTATAGCCAACCAAAATCTTGTTAGAGAGACTTTCACTTCGTATGAAAGTGCATGAAGAAGAGATTCGAAGGTCGATCTCACCAGAAGAAGATGGTTGAATCCTGTTCTACTGCAGCCGTTTGGCTTTGATAAGACATTCACGTATCAAAGCTTTGCACGTTTATACCGAAATCGAAGGAGATTGCTTTAGAAACAGCACCAGCAAGAATGTTCCAGTAAAGCAAATCGAAGGCTGGTCAAGAATAATCCGCTGTCGTCTTCTGGTGGGATCCACTTCCGAATCTCTTCACCAAACACGCTGGATTCCTTTGAGCCATTTGCGAATGCTTTTACTCAAACATTATGACATAATGATATGAAGACCAAGATGTTGTGGCCTCTGGGATTGTCGCACACATTTTGACGAGTGGAATGTAAACAAGTCAGCAGTTGTGATAGGGCAGCAGTGGGATAAGAGGGTAAAGAGTAGATAGATAGACCAGGACAGAAAGAGGAGTGATAGTGTAACCGTTTTCGCAGAAACCTATACAAGATTGACTTCACTTGTCTCTTTGACGAGTTCTTAGCTTAGTGCGGAGACTAGCAAAACTCACTGATGATGCAGACTACGAGGCCAGCGAAACGTTTGAGAATGTACCAAGTCCACCGTCCGATGCTGGGAAGCATGACAACTACTATGGCAGACGACTTCGGACAAGGTGTGTTCTACTAAGTCGCCCTGACAACAAGGCCTAGTTGCGACAACGAGGTCAACGCACTTCTTGAAAATTTACGTTTAAACGAAAAACAAACGGCGTATGTTTAATGCAAGAACCAGTAGAGAAGAGTGTATCTCTGTGTTGATTTTAATTCCTCTTAACATTCTGATTATTTTGGGATTGTGTGGTTTTATGAGGAAAACCGTTTGCCCCTGAACGCACGCATCCATGACTCAAATTCTGCCGGGGCAGCTGATGCGAAACTGATACAAGGTCAGAACTGAAGTCAAGGCTAGTAAATAAGGTTTTTTGGAAAATGAGACCAAGCGAAATTAACTAAACAAATCGAGCCTTCCTTTCCATTCAGTATGGACAGAGGCACAATCATTTAATTACAAAAACCACTCGAAACTGGTCCAACTTGGTGCCCATCAAATTCAGTATATTTGTGCAAGAAAAATTGTTGATAAATGCATTGTAAGTCAATCCTGAGGTGTTAATGTGAGAAGGAAACGAAGCATTGTGGAGCTTTGGGTCGGTGTCAATGTGTTCTAAAAGCGATTGATCTCAATTTCCGTTTCACTAATTCACATGTGAATGCGTGTAGCTGCCATTGTTAATCTGTTCCTTTCCTACTGACCAAATCGCTCATGCTCCGATGCACAAACATGCACCCATACACTCGCATACGTACATCAGGCAGCAATAGTGAAGAGGTCTCAGTTGGCTCCTGCAGCACGGGTTGTTCAATGACCTCCGTACGCGAAGCAGAGCCCTATCTGGATCACATGGAGCCCGAGGGCAGATTCACAGATGCCATCTGCGGGGCGGCTGAGAAGTGCCTGAGAGGTAGACATGCGCGGGCGGCACAAGAAGAAGACGAGGAAGAAGAGGTTGGGGAGGATGAAGATGAAGAAGAGCGAGAGCATGAGCAAGAGGGTGAAGAAGATGAGGATGAAGAGGCAGAAACAGAGGAGATGTATGAAGAAGAAGAACTGGAAAAGGAGGAGGAAGAAGATGATGACGAAGAAGAAGAAGAAGAGGAAGAAGAGGAGGAAGAAGAGGAGGAAGAGGAAGAGGACGAGGAAGAGGAAGAGGAGGAGGAGGAGGAGAGAGAGCATGAAGAGCAGGAGGGAGTAGGTAATGAAGAGGATGAAGGAGAAGAGGAAAACGAAGAAGAGGTGGACGATGAAAGTGAGATGGAAGATATCTCCCACCAAATAGAGGCCCGATTGAGCCAAGCGGAGATCAGTCCCCTGTTGCAAGCAGACACGGTTGATAGCCGTCCGAGCTCCAGAATAGCTGGAACACATTCAGCAGTCAGTAACTCTGCCTTTCAAGCTGCTGCCTCTCGACGTGCCGCTTCAACTGCACGAGGTCGACATGTAAATCGTTGTGGTTATGCGTCTGTTGGACCGGCAGACAAGCCAATCCGTCCTCTTGCCTCAGCCCCCAGCCATGGCGCCGGCACTCAGGCCCCGCGAACCAACTTGGGCTCCACTCCCGTCCAGTCGACCGACGCCAACCAGACCATGTCGAGCCAACACTGCGACACACAAGCAACTGGCTTGTCGGGGATGGTGATAAAGACCCATCGTGTGCTCGACACGGACGGCGGATCCTCGGACTATGTATAAACCGGCCAACCGGGCGCCTCATTCGGTGCCCCGGTCTGACCCATTTCAGTCCACACTGCCCCATGCCTCCTCAGCTTCACACCTTCACACCTTCACACATTCGCACCTTCACACTTGACAATGGCGGCCAGCTTAAGGACTGCCAACATATCTTCGCCCGACGCTGAGCATGCAAATCCTGCTCCTTTTTTGCTGGTCGTCTGAGCTTCTTTCTGCCATCGTCGATCAGCTCTACCCAATTTAGCCCCAAAATATGCAACTTCACGCCACATTTTTTGAGTAACTGAGTAAATGGGCGAAGTATGCTGCTCTTCTACGCTTACTTAGTCTGGCTTCAGGGAAAAATTGGGCGAAACCTCCACCACTTTCTGTTGAGACATGCGGCCCGGAAACCCTCAAGAGACTATAAATGAGTCGTATCTTTAAAAGCCGCCATTGTATTGGTTCTCGTTGTAAAGACATTGACTTCACTATGTTGCATATACGTTTTTTATCACTTTATCTCACACCCAGATTAACTAAACTTGTTGCTTGGCAACGCCATCGGCATTCATCTGCGCACAGTTACGAATGAAAACTCTGGAACCATTCTGCATT